TTTCGGTTGTGGGTAGGGATAATGGGGAGTCAAATTTCTACTTAGAAGACTGAAGGCCCTTAGGATTTGTTAACAGTGCACCCCAAACACAGAAAACAAACTTATGGTTACCAAAGGGGAAAGGGGGGTGGGAAGGGATAAATTAGAAGGCTGGGATTAACATATTACATGCTACTATATATAAATAGATAACCAACAAGGACCTACTGTATAGCACAGGGAACTATACTCAACATTTTGTAATAACCTATAAGGGAAAAGAACCTGAAAAAGAATTTATGTAGGTATATATACGTGTAACTGAATCACTGAGCTGTACACCTAAAATTAGCATGATATTGTAAATCAACTATACCTTAATAAAAAATAAAACAAAAACAGTGTGCGCGCACGCACACTGATAATTCAATTTACTGGGGCTGTACCATAAGTGGCAAAACTGGAGTTTTCATGTTCTCACTGCCATGGTTTCAACCAAAAAGCTACATGATCTCAGTTCAAACTGGCCATGGGCAACAGTACTACTCTTGAACTGAAAATCTACTTAAAATACCAATTTCAAAGTTTGGAAACTTTACTGATATAAAGTGAAACAGTAATAAGTAAGAGTCACCAAGTGTGCAAGGGGCACCTTCCTCCCTCCTTTATAGTTAGAGAAGTTCAAGGTGTATTTCTGGTCTAACCTAGTTTCTCTGTTTTCATCACTGAACATTCTATTTTGATGTGTCGCACCCTGGACTTCCTTTTACTACATCTTGATATTCTACTGCAAATCATGACTCATCCTTAAATCATAGAGAAACTCATCAAAATCCCAAACTGCACAGCACATATGAATTCAGTCTTTCAAGAGGGCAGCATTCTTAGAACATTACTTGGAGCCACAGAGACAAAAACACTGAACAAGTTCATGTAGAAATTATGTCAATCCACTGTTGAGTCAACACATTTATTAGATCAATAAATACGAGCTCTATGTGTGGTAATTTTGGTCTTAGTACCAGTTATTAAACTGTGTTACATGATACGTTAACTGAAAATAAGCTACAAAACAGAAAGTATAGTGTGACTCCAATTAAAAATTTTATGTGTGTGCATGTGCGGCTGTGTGTATATGTATTTTAAAAGACCAGAAAAATATACACCAAAATGTTAACAGAGGGATTATGGGAGATGTTTTTTTTTTCTTTGTGGTTTTCTGCATCTTCCTAAGATAATTCATATTAATATTTTTTATAACAGAAAAAAACAACTAACCTTTAGAAAATATTGCTGTACTAATGTAATCTCAAATATGTCATCAATCTACAAAGGCAAAGGGGAATTACGGATAAATAATAAAACATAAAATACTTTTGCCTTAAACATACAGAAAAATTTGCCATGAGTGGAGTCCTTCATATAAGTGACCAGGACCGCTCATCTACATGTGCAGGTACCAGCCCTTAGGGGCAGAAGCCAGCTGCCTACAGCCAGGTCACAGCCAGAACAAAAGAAATGGGTTCTCTGTCCAAAGTTTAATGAAGAACCCCATGTCTAGGAAACATGAAAATGGCTGAATCATTCCCTGGGACTGGAAGGGAGTAAAGCTGTTAATTAGTAAGCAGTAATTCACCATCAGCGAAAAAAGACTTTACTCCAGGAATTCACATCCTTAGATAATATTTTTAAAGTGTTTTGGGTTTGTTTTGTCTTAGGTAATGTTTTGCAACCGTATTGGTTTTTTGAATCCTATAGATACATAATTAGGTAGCACAGGGCGCACAAAATCCGATATGTGACAGCTAAGAAAGGAGTATTTTAATTTATATGCACTGCCTGGAAGCCCTTTAAAACCGATTTCAGGAAAAGTTCTAAAAAGTTATTAAAAATATAAATTTCAATATATGATCTCAGAGTTACTGTTATTGTACATTACCAGGTTTGAATTAGTAAATTTTTTTTAAATAAGAAAAAGAGGAGGGCTTTAATAAATGTTTAGCAAACCTCAAAATTCAAATGGAGCTGCTCTCCCCCATGTGGGCTATTGCCATTCTGGTCTAAAAAAGCATTAGTACCAAGTGAGTGAGGTTCAGAGATGGTCTAATTCAGCTCACAAAGGTACACCATCACACTGTCATTATTTACATGTCATTCCACACATATTACTGATGGAAAAGAGAGAAAATTCATGCATACTGTGTTATTCACATGGCAGAAAAGTGCCAGTGATGACTTTTAAATGTTCTATTCCTTGAATGAATGCATATAAAAGTTGTCATCACCATTAATGTAAACAAGAGTTTCTCAATCTGGGTACTCCTGACATATTTTGGGCTAGAAAATTCTTTGTGGGAATTGCTGGATGTTTAGCAGACCTCTACTCATTAGATGCCAGTAGAACCCCCTCTGATTAGAACAACCAAAATGTCTCCAGATACTGCCAAAAGTCCCTTGGGGAGCAAAATTACTCCCAGTTGAGAACTATTGATATAAATGAACATTATTCATTCCAAATAATAACTTATCGGAATGAAGAACTCTAATTATCCCCTTTTTATTTTGAAGGAAATGTAGTCTTGAAAGGAGAATACTTAACAACCTTCATCCTTAAGGAATGGTCATGCAAAGTGATGTTGGCTTTGGAAAGCTTTTTTCCTTATCTATTTAATATAAGTTCTGTTATCATACTCACAGCTTTCAATGCAACAATTTATTGAGCATCTACTCTGCACCAGGTGTGGTGTTAGGGACATCCTGTACTCATGTCCACTGACTCACACCCTGCTCGGGCTGTTTTGGTTGTTTTTAGGACGTGCTTTGCCACCAGAAAAGAAACACGGACACCTTAAAAAAACCCTCAAGAGAGCAGCGTGTCCTTGTCAATAAAGGAGCCCCACAGTTCCAATCAGGTTCCTTAAAATTCTTTACCCTTTTTAGTAATTCTACACATTTCCAACATTTAAAGGTTTAAACAACCAAAAAAAGGCCAGAAGGCCTTTGCTATATTTGGCATAGAATGACCATCAGGGGTCTTTGCAGGTAGGATCATTACTGGAAACTCCAAAAACACTTAGGGACAGTCTTCTTAACTGTCTGACCCACGTGCCCTCCTAACACAATTTGTAATTTTATAATCCCCATAAATTGAAACTCATAACTGACCTTTCCCAAATAAGTGTGTGTCACAAAGAGACAGAAGAAAAGGGAGAGAGATTGGAGGGTATTTTGTTTGGCAGTAAGGCTCAGAAATCAATTTGAGCTCATTAATAGATGCCCGGAACATGCTTGGTTCCTCGTCACCTCCGCCCTCCCCCGCCAGAAGTGAAGCACAGACGCGAGAGGATGGGTGTGTTTGAGGTGCTTGGGCAATAGAAAACACACACACACACCACACACCTGGGAGATAAAAACCTGTAAGTTCGAAATCCAAAATGGCCAAAATGACTTCAAAGTTTTCAAGATGCTGCCCTGAAAATGTTCGTTGGGCGGCTGCCCCTCTAAGTAAATAAAGCCATAACTTGTCTCCCTCTCCAGCGCAGGGCTCCCCCGGCTGACAGTGGCTGCACAAAACCCCTCCTGTGCCGAGCAGCGGAAACTCCTAATGAGATTAGTTGGTCTGTGTGCAGACATTACTTAGCAATGACTACAGGGGCTCTCTCTTCCTGCAGCAGCCAGTGGAAAATTCAGGGAACTTTTTCCCCCGCAGCAGCAGAATCCCTTTAACCCTCTTCCCCAGCCAACTCCAAAAACAACTCAGCCTCCCCCAGCGTCCCCCCTCCCGGCCGGGGTGCTGGGGGGAGTTAAAGACCCGCCAGGGACTTCCAAAAGCGGGAGGGTGGGAGGGCGCCGGCGGGGAAGGGGCGGGTGACCCCTCGAACACTACAAAGGAAACTGTAAAAGGCACAAATACATAAACCTGAGAAGGAGCAAACCACAGTTTCTTTGTGAGCTCCTCTAGTGAGTCATTTTCAAGATGCTGTCTGCTGCCAGTTTCAAAGCGGAAGCGCATGGCAATTAGTCTTGCCGTTTCCAGACAAGCCAGAAACTCTCCCGACACTCATTTTTTTTTTTCCTTCTAAAAAGCCCCTTTTGCAGTTTCTGAAATAACATTTCTTTCTCCCACCTCCATCCGCCGCCTAACTGCAGCTTATCCTCAGGACGATTCGGTTCAGAAAACGTAACAAAACCGAGACCTCTATTTTTTTATTATTATTATTTTTAGCCTTCCAAAATTGTAATTCCTCCCCCCAAAAGTTACGGAAGCATTACAGGCCAACATTCAGATGCAAGCTGAATAGCCCTATCCCAAAGTGCTGGGGACTCCAAGACCACCTCCTGCCCGGTCCTCCTCCAAAACCACGTCCAGTAATGACTCCACCGGCTTTTAAAGGTCCGGCTGGGCGTGCGCCTGGGGCGGGGACCCGGGCGGGGGTCACCTGCCGAGCGAGAGGGGACGCGGCCCCCAGCCCCGCGGCTCGGCTCCCCACGCCCTCCGCTTCCCTCTCCACCCCTGTCCTCTCCCTGAATCCGAGCGTCGGTGCCCACTGCCACCCCGAGGAGAGCCACAGCCCCGGCTAGGTCAGCGGTGGTCCAGCCTCCAGGCACGCAGCCCGCTCCAGTCACCGTTCCTCCCAGAGGGACCCCAAGTCTCACCGCCGCCCGCTCCCCCGCGCGCCCCCTCCTCCGGGCTCACAGCGCAGCCCAGGGCGTGGTGTGCCATCGCCGGGTGGCCGCAGCCCCCGGGCCGGCGCGCGGACCCGGCGCAGGAGCATCCCAGCTGCGCCCACTCCCCGCGGCCGCCCCCAGCCCCGGGCCTGCAGCCCCCGACGCGGTGCCCACCC